CTGTGACATCACAGCTCACAGCAACCTCCAACTCCTAGGCTCAAGCAAGTCTCCTGCCTCAGCCTCCCAAGTTGCTGGGACCACAGGCACCTGCCACAGTGCCTGGCTATTTTTTGGTTGCAGCCGTTATTGTTGTTTTTGGTGGGCCTGGGCTGCATTTGAACCCACCACCTTAGGTGTATGTGGCTGGCGCCTTAGCCACTTGAGCTACAGGCACGAAGCCGAGAAATATTTCTTTGGAAAGTTTTTGTCTAAAGTTTTGCCTAAAAGTAGGCAAGTAGGATGCTTGCCTACTTTTTAATGAAGTTTTTGGTTTTTTCTCTTCACTTTTTTTTTGCATATTCTGCATATTAGTCCTTTGTCAGATCAGTAATTTGTATATATTTTCTGCCACGCACACATTCCCAGAAATAAACTTCCCATCCATGGAGAATGGATAAGAAATTATGCACAAACACATATACACACACACACACACATAGATGATGTATAGGAGATATATGATGGAACATTATTCAGTCTTAAAGTGGAATACAATCCTGTCATGTGTGGCAACATGGAAAAAACTCAAGGATGTTAAAAGAAGTGAAATAAGCCAGGCAGAGAATGACAACTGCTGCACGATCCCATTCCTATGTCAAATCTAATGAAACTGATCTCATATAACTACACAGTAGAATAGTCTTTATCAGAAGCTGGGTAGGGTAAGAAGGAGAGAAAAGGGAAAGAGGTTTCCTAATAGTTATGCAATGTAGTTATACAGAAAAAAAAAATAAATTTTTTTTGGTATTCTATTACTTAGTAGGGTGACTATAGGTAATAATGAGGTATTGAATATTTTCAGGTATCTAGAAGAGGATTTTTAATTATATCAGCATGAAAAAATAACACAATGAACATTCTAATAACATGATTGCATATCATATAATACATTCTTGCAATGAAACATATTGTGTCTCATAAATATGTATAATTTTTTATGTGTTAATTATAGATTAAATGAGTCCTTAAAAAGGAATAATTGCCAAACTGCATAAAACCAAAGAGAAGAATAATTCTTAAAAGGAGTGAGAGAAAGAAAGACAACCTAAAAAATCTCTCACTTCTATACAGAGCCAGAAAACAAAACAACACAGAATGTTAATACAATCTTAAAATAAAAACATCTGTAGAGCAAAGTATACAATCAACAGAGTGAAAAGACAACTTACAGAAGGTGAGAAAATATGTGCAAAATACACATCTATCAAAGGGCTAATAGTTAAAATACATAAAAACCCAAATAACAGCAAAACCAGCAAATAACCCAACTAAGAAATGAGAAAAAACCTATCTAGATATCTCTCAAAAGGACACATGTAAGTGGCCAATGGAGTAATAAGAAATGCTCAGCATCTCTAATCATCAGGAGAGTGGAAATGAAAACCACCCTGGGATATCACCTCATGGCAGTTAGATGACCATCACCAAAAGATAAAAAGATAACAAGTGTTAAGCAGAATATTGAGAAATGGAAACTTTTGGCATACACTTTTGGCATAAATGTAAATTAGTAGAGCCATTATAGTAAGCAGAGGTGCTTAAAAAACTAATAAAATGGAACTACTGTGGATCTCACAACCCCACTATTGGACATGTATCCAAAGAAATTTTCACCAGTATGTTGCAGGGATACATGTATAGCCCTCCCACGTTTGCCACGGTACTAGTCACAATAGCCAATATCATAGAATAAACATAAGTATCCGTGAAGGGACAGATAGATTAAAAAAATGGGGTATACAAGCACAATGAGACACTGTACAGCCATAATAAAGACAGAAATGCTGCCATTTTAGACAACATGAATGGACCTAGAGAACATTATTTGAAGTGAAAGCCAGGCACAGGAAAAAAAAATACTCTATCATCTCACTCGTATGTGGAATTAAACAAATTGATTTTATAGAAGTAAAGAGTAAAATGGTACTTAAAGCACCTGAGAGATTCAGGTGGTGGTAAAATGATTGGAGAAAGGAAACATAGCTACAATTAGGAGAATTAACTTTAAAGAGAATTCTTGTATAGCAAGGTGACTTATACTTAATGATTATATTAATATATTCCACAACTGAAGAATTCAAAGATACTTAAGTGTCCTCACACAAAAACAGCTATGCCAGGCACTGTTTGTTAATTAGCTATATTTAAGCATTCTGCAATCTGTATATACTTCAAAACATTATGTGTTGCATAATAAAAACATGCATTATTTTCCATATAAAAACAAATTTTATTTATTTTTTGGAGACAGAGTGTCACTCTGTCATCCAGGGTAGAGTGTCCTGGCATCATCTTAACCAACAACAACCTCAAACTCTGGGTTCAAGTGATCCTCTGGCCTCACTCTCCTGAGTAGCTGGGATCACAGGCACCTTCCACGAGGCCGAGCTAGCTTTTTCATTCTTAGTAGAGATGAGATCTCACTCTTGCTTAGGTGGTCTTGAACTCCTGAGCTCAAGTAACCCTCCCAGCTTGGCCTCCCAAAGTGTTAGGATTATAAGCGTGAGCCACCACACCTGGCCATAAAAACAAATGTTATAAAAGTGTTCAAAATTGTTATCCAAGCTACAATTTGATATGTAGCTAAATATCTTGAATGGATACAGGTAATTAAGATGTTTTCAAAAGTAATATTACACATTTGTTTACCAATAGGAGCTACAGAAGAGTACATTTCAAGAAGAAAGATAAGTTTCCTGTAGGAAAGTAAAATGAACACACAAGAGCACGATACATGTCTTGGAAATATCAAATCACAGTGGACACTGAACTGAGACAAACACATACTCCTGGGTACCATCCAAGTTAAAAGTATTTAGATATTATAGGAGTCAAATTCCACGTGCTTTATTTCAATCAAATAGCAAATCCTGTGCTTCACTTCTTCGCAAGTTTTTAAAATTTTTATTTTTTGGCTGGGGTTGGGTTTGAACCCGCCACTTCTGGTATATGGGGCCAGCACCCTACTCCTTTGAGCCACAGGCACCTTCCCTGTGCTTTACTTCTTAAGTTGTTTATCTAATAACAGATGAATAACTTTCATTAAAAAATTTTATTGCCATATTTATAAAATAGAGGCACTCCCATTGAACTTTTGAGGAATATTGATATATTTTTAATCAGATATGATTAGCACAAAAGGACTGAAAGTAGCATAGATATTGGACACAAATCTCTGCACATGGAAGATGACAGAGCCGTGTGCCCATCACAGGATTGAGGAGAATAAGAGGATGGACTCCACTGAATACATGACCACAAAGAAGCTCGGGAGGCCGGCCTAGGAGAAGAAAGGGTATATGGGATATGTCTGCACATTTTGCTAGATTCTGCTAGATTTTCTATGAACGTTAAAACTGCTCTAATAAATAAAGTCTATTTTTTGAGGAAGGATAATGGGGCGATTAGTGAAAAGAATAGCAATAATGAAAGTCAGAGTGCTTAACATATAGAGAAGCGCTCTGGAGCCCCGCCCCGCCAAGCCCCGCCCCACGGAAGCCCCGCCCCCACGGAAGCCCCGCCCCCACGGAAGCCCCGCCTCGCAGAAGCCCCTCTCCTCCCAGCGTTCCTCCCACCGTTCCTCCCACCGGCTCCGCGGGGAACCCCCACAACCAAGAGAAGGCGCCTCCAGAGGCCAAGCGGGTTTACTGCCTGCTGCTGCCGGGCGCTGGGGAACCCGGAGAAGCTAGAAAGGGCGAAGCAGGTGAGGAACCTGCAGGTTAAGCGCTTCATGGAGAGGAGCCGTGGGTGGCTGAGGGCAGCAGCCGCAGTGAGAAGGCAACGGAAGTGCCGGGCATCGAAACCAACCTGAAAGAGGCCGTCGTGACCGCCTAGAACAAGCCCGTGACCCCGGGCGCCGGCGGACGCTGAGAGCCGCTCCCAGGGCCCCTATTCGGAGCGTGAGGCCGCACGCCGCGCGGAGTTCCCTCCCGAGCTCCCGGAGCCGAGCCGCGCTGAGGAGGACGCATGTGCGCGCCCGCTGCGAAAGGCCGCCGGGGGTCGAACGCTTCCTGACGGACGGGATTGCAGCCAGGTAGACAGTGGCCAAGCGCCCACGACCTGCTCCGCGGCCGCATCCCTACTTCTGGAATCTTCCAGACCAAGTTCTGGTGAACACAGTTAACTTCCACGTGTGTGGCATGGGCGGCCAGCGTGATGAACCCCACAAGTGGATCCGGTCCTTCGAGGACGTGGCCGCCACCGTCTCTGAGGTGGTCACAGCAGCTACAGCGTGGGCATCCTGGAGGACATTGGTTGCCTGCAGGCCCCTCGGGCCTCTTCAAGAGGTTTTGAAACGACAGGTGGCTGCACACCATCGCAATGACTCTGACCCTCAACACGTGAGACCCACACGTGGTGTCCTTGCTGGGAGATGGAAAATTAAGGGCTTCCTTCCAGAGGTACACTTTGCTGTGGGCTTCCAGCTCTGCCTCTTTTATATTATAGTAGTTGCTGTAGAGTTTACGGTATAGGTCATTAGTTTATCACAATATACCTTCAGACAATGTCACAGCACTTTATTTGCAGTGCAATAACTTTACAATAATGTACTTAACTTTTCCTCCTTCCTGGCCTTCGACCTCTTGTCATACATTGTACTTCTCTATATGTTAAGCACTCCAACATTCATTATTATTATTTTTTTCTCTAATCGGTCAATTATTCTTTCTCAAAAAATACTTTATTTATTAGAGCAGTTTTAGGTTCATAGAAAATCTGGCAGGATGTACAGAGATATCCCATATGCCCTTTCCACTCCTAGACCAGCTTCCCTATCAATACTAGCACCAGAGGGGGACATTTTTATGACCAATGAGCCTACAGACATTAGTATCACCCAAGTTCATAGTTTACTCTTGGAGTTGTACATTCTATGGGTTTGGACAAACGCATAATGTCAGGTATCCTCCATTACAGTGTCAAATGGAGTGATTTCACCACTCTGAAAATTCTCTGTGCTCCCCACTTACTGACCCCTCCCCGCACCCACCTTAACCTTTGGCAATCATGATTTTTTTTTTTCTCTTTTGACACAAGATCTTCCTGTTGCCCAGGCTGGAGTGCAGTGGGACAATCATGGCTCACTGTAACCTCCACTTCTTGTGCTCAAGTGATCCTTCCACCTTAGCTTTTGGAGTAGCTAGAGAGAGGCACATGCCACCACATGTGGCCATTTTTTGTATGGAAGGGGTTGTCTAGGCGGTCTTCAACTCCTTTCCTCAAGACATCGAACCTTTGCCTCCCAAAGTCCTGGGATTACAGCCATGAGCCAATGTGCTCAGCTTTGACCTTTTCCTTGTCTCCATAGTTTTGCCTTTTCCAGAATGATTAGCTGAAATCCATATAGTTGGAATCCCATAGTAAGTAGATTTTCGAAAGACTGGCTTATCTTAGTAATATGCATTTAACTTTCCTTCATGTCTCCTCATGGCTTGAGAGCTCATTTCTTTTTAGTGCTGAATAATAGTCTATTGCCTGAATGTATTGCGGTTTATTTATCCATGAAACTACTAAAAGCCATCATGATTTTTTCTAATTTTGGCAGTTAGGAACTTCTACAATCTCCTACAGTGTGTAGGTATCTGTGTAGATATAAGTTTTCAAGTCCTTTGGGTAAATACCAGTAACGCTATATAATTAATATCAATGTTGTCAATGTTAATATTGATAATAATGTTTTGAATTAAATGTTATTCAAGTTAATTTTACTGGTTAAATATGTCTACTGGAAAATTTTAAATTATATTTCTGTTGGACAACACTCTTCTAGGATGCCCTAAATAAACATGTAAAAAGGAAGTAGGAAGTAGGAACAACTATCATTCTTTCAGGGAAGAGAATGTCCCACAAACTCTTGTCATGGCTCCCAGGACTTCCTTATTTCTCAGGCTGTAGATAACGGGATTGAGCATGGGAGTGAGGATGGTGTAGAAGACTGCCAAGATTTTATCTTCTGCTGGTGAGTGGAGATTTCTGGGCCAAAGATAGGTATAGACAAAAGGTGCATAGTGAAAGGTCACTACAGTCAAATGTGTCAAACAGGTGGCAAGGGCTTTGTTTCTTCCCTCCTTCGAGTGCATATGATAGACAGCATTGACCTTAGGAAGCGGTGATACCCAGGAAAGGAAAAAGGATAAAGAGGATTGTACTCACAAAAACCATATACTCATAGACCCAAGCGTCCAAACAGGCATGAGGCAACATTTTCATTTTAGGTTTGAGTCGGTGAAGGTGTAAAATGTAATTTCTACCCAGGATATTTCCTTTTGATGGGAAAGAAGAAAATGTTCAGGACTCACTGGTATAAGGGGTCAATAAGTGGAATTTCAGGCACAATGGCAGATGATGACCAAGGTCTCTTAAATGGCACCGTTTGAGTTGGGAGAAGTAAATAAGCATTTTCCATTACTGATTTACCTGACTTGTTCAAGTTCTTTATTTTTTTTTTATTAAATCATAACTTTGTACATTGATGCATTTATGGGGTTCAGTGTACTGCTTTCACATACAATGTGAAATGCTTACATTGAACTACATCCATCACAATTATACTCATTTCTTAATAGTTTTGAAATGTACCATTGCATCATGTACATTAGGTGAGGTCCCTCCAAATACCCTTACTCTTCCCATATCCCCCCCTCCCTTCCCCTCTCTCTCCTCTTCCCTTCTACTTTCTGGACTATAGTTATGTTTTGCCATTCATATGAATGTGTAGGTGATTATATATTGATTTCATAGTAGTATTGAGTACATTGGATTCTTTTTTTTTCCCATTCTTGAGATACTTTACTAAGAAGAATATGTTCCAGCTCCATCCAGGTAAACATAAAAGATATGAAGGCTTCATCTTTTTTATGGCTGCATAGTATTCCATGGTGTACATATACTACAGTTTGTTGGGCTGTTTCCATGTCTTGGACTATTACGAATTGGGCTGTAATAAACATTCTGTTGCAAATGTATTTGTTGTAAAATAACTTTTGATCATCTGGGTATATACCTAGTAGAGGAATTGCAGGATCAAATGGTAGATCTACTTTTAGTTCCTTGAGTGTTCTCCAAACTTCTTTCCAAAAAGGTTGTATTAGCTTGCATTCCCACCAGCAGTGTAGAAGTGTACACCCTTATCTCTGCATCCACGCCAATATCAGTAGTTTTGGGGTTTTGTTGTGTGGGCTAATCTTACTGGAGTTAGGTGATATCTCAAAGTGGTTTTGATTTGCATTTCTCCAATGATTAAGGATGATGAGCATTTTTTCAGGTGTTTGTAGGCCATGCTCCTGTCTTCATCAGAGAAGTTTCTGTTCAAGTCTCTTGCCCACATAGAAATAGGGTTATTTATTCTTTTCTTATTAATTAGTGTGAGTTCTCTGTATATTCCAGTTATCAGACCTTTGTTAGAAGCATAACCTACAAAAATCTTCTCCCATTCTGAAGGTTGTCTGTTTACTTACTTACTGTGCTCTTGGCTGTGCAAAAGCTTTTTAGTTTGATCAGATCCCCATAATGTATTTTTGGTGTTGCTTCAATTGCCTGGGGGGGTCCTCCTCATAAAATATTCTCTCAGGCCAATTTCTTCAAGTGTTTTCCCTGTACTCTCTTCTAGTATTTTTATAGTTTCATGTCTTCCAGTTTAAATCTTTTATCCAGTAAGAATCAATTTTTGTTAATGGTGAAAAGTGGGGGTCCAGTTTCAGTCTTCTATAGGTTGCCAGCCACTTCACCCAGCACCATTTATTAAATAGGGAGTCTTTCCTCCACTGAATATTTTTGGTAGGCTAGTCGAAGATCAAATGATGATTAAGTAGCTGGGTTCATCTCTTGGTTCTCTATTCTGTTCCATAAATCTACTGCTCTGTTTTTGTGCCAGTACCAGGCTGTTTTGATCACTATAGATTTATAGTATAGCCTGAAGTCTGGTAATGTGATACCTCCTGATTTGTTCTTATTTCTGAGTAACATATTTTCTATTCAGGGTTTTTTCTGATTCCATATAAAATGAAGTACTATTTTTTCAAGTTCTTTAAAGTATGACAATGGTGCTTTAATAGGGATTGCATTAAATCTGTAGATTGCTTTGGGTAGGATGGACATTTTAACAATGTTGGTTCTTCCCAGCCATGAGCACGGTATGTTTTTCCATTTGTTAACATCTTCAGCTATTTCTTTTCTCAGAGTTTCATAGTTCTCTTTATAGAGATCTTTCACGTCTTCATTCGAAAACAAAACATTTTGTTTCTTACCTGCTTTGTTTAATCACAAATACTACATTTGTATTTGTAATAGGTTCAACATTCAAATGTATTTGTATTGTTATACTTTCTTTTAGAAATTAAGTAACAAAAAGAAACACATTTTTAATGTATTTTATAATGACTTTGTAATATTTTCTGGTTCTTATTATAAATTGTGTAGATTTACATTCCTATCTTTGAGCACTTTGATATTAGCTATAAAATCAGTCTGCTGGCATCAAATATTTTTTAGTTTTTGTTTAGCTGAATGGCATTTATTAATCTTTTGCCTCTATTTTTGATGGATAGCTTTACTGATTTTAAGATTCTTGCTTTAAAGATTGTTTTTAGGATAAGCAATAAATTTTAAATTGAGTTGAAAGGTTTACAAGATGGCAAACATCAAAATCTAAGAAAGCCAGCTGAATTGAGAATGAGATCATAATGATGGCAGCTGATGATACATTGCGCTGAGTTGTAGGAAGGAAGAATTGT